AGTAATCTAATTGATTACTCTTCCCATCTTAATAACGCCGTTACCGTTACTGCCAAACAATGCGGCGCGTTACTATAATTTAATCTGTTTTTTTTATCAGACCAACTAGATCTCTGAGCCGAGAGGCAAAGGCTTTTTTTTACTGTTCTTCCTTGGTTAGTGGGCAGTGCACGAGACAAGCGCATAAATGCTGACGATTGGCTGAGGTTGAGTAAAATTTCATGGTAAGCCAATCAGAGGTAGAGTTGGGCAGGTGTTTGAAAGCACGTATAGTCAGACACACAACGAACAACACAAGCGAGTCAGTCAACAAGAGACAGGTATGGCCAGTTGTGTTGCATCTTATTACATTTGCACTAAAAAGAGTGTATATATTGTTTGAATACATTTTTGGTATATTGCTTAAAGAGCATCATTTAATTTAGATTTATTTGTTGGCAGCTGCAGCCTCTTGAAGTGAGATTGTCAATGGCCAGAGAAAGAGATTTATTTTTATGGAGATGTATTTTTTATTTCTTATGTATTACCTGTTTATATTTGGATTCCTTAGTTTTGCTATACATTGTACTTTTTGTACAAGTTTTTGAGGAGAATTGAGAGTTATCTACCAATTTTTTGTTTTTTTATTTGCACTACAAAGAGTGTATATATTTGTTATTTATTTTTGGTATAGTGCTTAACAAGCCTAATTTAATTTTGCCCAGTTGTGGCCTGTTGAGGGGCAATAAATATCAAAAGTTCCAAAACATCTATTGTGTTATTTGTATGGATCCACTATATAAACATAATATCTACATACATGGCATTTGATTGGAGGCTAGTCTCACTTTGTCCCACAGCAACATTAAAATAGTTTAGACTTATGTACATTGTTTCTGTTAATAATGGATTGTATTAAGTGTCCATTTCATTATAATATTCAGATTTATCATAAATAATTGAACATGCACATGTATTTTAAGTTCCGTTAAAGAGGGGTGGAGGTGGGGTCACATTTGAGCATTTAAAAATTTACTGGAAAGTAACGCAATAGTTACTTTCTGAAGTTACTAGTTACTAATTTGTAACTGAGTAACTAATTTAGTTACTTTTTGAAAGAAGTAACTAGTAACTGTAACTAATTGCCTTTTAAAAGTAACTTGCCCAACACTGCCAATACCTAATGATAAGAAAACCATATCAGATATACATTAACATTACCTCACACTGCACCTGTGGCTGGGAGGGTGTTATTAACTCTGGTTGATTCTGGACAAATTTACTGTGAAAGTGTCATATCACACAGTTATCACGGTTTTAATGATTAATGAATTAAGTTTTGAAACGGTAGCCTAATATTAACTGTCAGGAATCCTACCATGGTTTACCTTTAAACCGTTCATCATTCATCCCTTGCTACGGTATGTTTTACTCTGAAGCAGACTTTTATTTTGAAGGACCGCACGGAAGACCAGAAGTAGGGAGGGTTTTGTTGTACCGTACTTATTTTAGTGGGTTTTTCTTTATCTCTATGGCGGACTTTAATAATTCTATAAGACCGGGAAAGCACCATGAGAGCATAATAAATTGTTCAAAGACAGCCCCTTACTTGTTTTCTACACAACTTAACACAGAGCAAAGTAAAACCCAAAACAGTTCACTTTAAAAGTGATCCACAGTGACAGATGAAATGACAACTCTAGATGAGCTCACACAATTCATTTACTCACACATTATTACAGTCATAGTTATGACATCTGCTTAATGCTCAACGCTACAATTCATTGGATATAACGTTAATGCTGTATTGTGTTAGTTTATAATGAACGCTAGCTATCCAGCTAGCAAGGTTACATTAATTTCAAGAGTTTCCCTTTTTCATTAATGCTGACCAATGGTGAATCACTGGTGGGGATTTAATCTTCGCCCTAATATTTAAACCAAGTAATTTATCATATTAAACAAAACATATAGCAGACGTATAGTCATACAACTTATCTTAACAGGAGTTCGGGAGCGAAAGAGCGAAATCCCGCTAAAACTGACGACAGTGCTTACGCCACCAGATAGCTTGCGTCTTCACCATGGCAACGGCAGAGAATGCTCATGGGTAACGCAGTCAGTAAGTCGCTGTCAACTTTTACAGATATCATTAAAAGTAAAGGGTGATGCTTTTGTAATTGAGACGAATGAATAGACCCAGCTGTCTGAATGATATTACTTTTTTATTCATTTATTCTGAGAGCCGCTTAGAATACAATGTGTTACAGAGCACGTTAACTGAGATGCGCTGTAAAAGCAAAACATGTTCATTTAAAAAGTAATTCCTGTTACCTTCGTTTTCATAGATTTGATCTTGATTCACATGTAGTAAAATGCCCAATATGATCACTCTAAACGCAGGCTACTGCCCAGCACAACCAGTTTATTGATATGAGCTACGGTTCATAAAAGACTTCATCCCACGCTTTTTGAAACAAGTTACCTATATCATCCCCTTTCCTTCTTTTGTGGAGTTTTGTGGGGAGATTGACTATTTGGACCGTTGGATAGCATTTATGAATATTGTGGGGACTAAGTACGCTTTTGTGGGCTAATATTGTTTGTATCGGTAAATACGCCGCTCTGGTTTCTTGCTTATATCCTGTCCAGTGACGGACACAATTTAAAACACTACATAAGTCACTTATTTTGGTGATTCAAAGAGTGAACATTTGTTGTTTATTCTTGAGATAAAAACTTTTTAAAATCTATTGTCCTCAATGGAAATTCACTTTTCTCAGGTCAGAGTCACACATTCACATAGCCTACAAATAAACAAGACAATAGATGGCTAGATAAAATAAACATTAAAACATACAATTCTAAAAAGAAAAGATGAAGCAGCTACCTTTCTGACCTTCGCGGTTTGCCAGCAGAGCAGCGCACCTGCACTAAATATATCCGTGAATTGTCACAATTTCTCAGAATCAAAAGTGAAAGTAGAAATGGGTGGCCAAAAGCTGTCATATTGTTTGTTATCAAGAACAATTTTTTTGTTTTTGTGTTGAAAGATGTTGAAACAAATGATAAAAATAAACAATAAATTATCTGTACGGAGTCCCTTTAAGGGACACTAGGGAGAAAGCTCCCAGACAGAACATGAGTTTGAAAGTCGTGCTTAGTGACACAAAAAATACTTCCAATTGAAATACATGAGTTTGAAAATCATGCTTGGAAATTTCGTGTCCCAGACCACGAACCAATAGATTGAAATACGTGACAGTGTCACGTATTTCCGTGAGACTGGGTTGAACCACAAGTAGCCCAGCATTCAGAGAACGTAGTGTTCTAGAGGGGTAATAGGGTACTATGAGCTCTTTAAGATATGAAGGGGCCTGACCATGAAGAGCTTTATAGGTGAGGAGGAAGATTGTTCTATTAATTCTATTCTGAATCTTACAGAAAAGATGATAAGATAAGATACATACTTTATTGAATTATTCTTTTCACTCTTTTTTTTATTCTTACACACACACACACAGGCTGAAACACACACTTCTTGCAACAGGGAGAGAGATGGTGGAGTGATGGGCTCGCTAGGTTTGTGGCGCCCATGAGCAGTTTCTTGGGGTTAGGTTGCCTTGCTCAAGGGCACCTCAGGAGGTGAAACTGGCACCTCTGCAGCTACCAGTCCACACTCCGTATTGTGGTCTGGGACCCTCCGGTTCCCAAGCCAAGTCCCTACACACTGAGCTACTGCCGCCCCAAACACACAGGCTACAAACATACAGGGAGCCAGTGCAGAGAAGCTAGTACAGGAGAGATGTGATCTCTTTTCCTAGTTCCAGTCAGTACTCGTGCTGCAGTGTTCTGAATTCATTGGAGCTTCTTAATGGACTTATTGGTAATAAAGAGGTTGGGTGAGAAAGACGAAGAACAAGACTTTCAACTGAATTAGAATTTAGTTTAGGTTTAGGATCAATTAAAAGGCTTGAATTATATTGGCTGCTACTCCACCTCCTCAAATAGTGATCGTATAGTGACATAATCTTAATAAAATGAACTAAAATATTTTTTACAATATCAGTAATACTTAATAACATCAGCTGTAGAATAGTAAAATGGATTCCTTAGAATAGAAAATGTCATTTAATCCCATGCTCAGAATATTTTTTACTTCTTTAATTTTTATTAATTTATTTAATTTTATAAGGTAAAAAATGATTTATAATGGTCTGTCTCTGCTGCCATCCTTAAGAATGTTCAGTAACAGTGCATTTAGAGACTTTCCTTTTGGTGTGTAGTCAGAATCTTTTGGGTGTTTGGAGGGGGGCAGTGACACTGGCTGGTATTTAATGCATAATAACATTATTTTTTCCACACTCTTCCCATACATGGGTCTGTATTGGCTTTGTCTGCTGTCACGTGCAGGGCAGCACAGTGCTGCCTTCAGGCTCCTCAGCATGAAAGTCATGGGACAGCATTAATCCAGGAGATAGCGCCCATCACTAGACTGACGGTGGAGAGCTGGTAGAAAGCATTTGAACTGGCAGTAACTGTAACAGTAAGCTGTTATTATCTCACTGAAAAATTATTACCTGTTGATGCTGAACGCAGCTTTTTTTTTTAGATTTGTCACTTTAAACAGACATAAATCTAAAACAAATAAATGTAAATTAAATTCAGGACCTCGAGAACTTGCCTGTATTGATGTGTCATTTCCCTAACAAAATACTTTTTTCATAGAATAGTATAACGCCCTTGGCTTTCTAGATTCGTTGAATAGCTGACAATCAAAGAATAATTTAAATTCACATTTATTATCAGATTGATTATCTTGACGCAGATTTTTTAGATTCTCTAAGTCTTTATATTGAGAAACTTAGTATCACAAAGTTATTATTTTGAGATGCTAATATTTATATATTATGCTAAAGTTTCTCATTATTATGACTTACAAAATATTTTTTTTCCGTCACGTCGGCGGAAATGGGCCTCCATAGCGTCAAGATGACGTCGGATTAATAGTGCTTTGGACGCGTGACGTCAGAGACGGGCTGGGTTTGCTAATTCAGATCAGCCCTTAATATTTATCTGAGGGATAGACACCCACTGACGACGCCGGCTTCACCGCAAAGTAAGATATTTACCTTAAACGGTGCTAATATTGTGTGAACCGACAGAGTTTAAATATGTGCCGTAGAAAACACCAGAACGTCTATACATGGAGACAGGCGCACGAGAAACAGCGCGCGACCTGTTATCAACGCTGAATAATGCGGACGGTTATCATATGACTGTGTGAAAACTGCGTTACAGCAGCTCTCTGTGAAGGAGTCCGCAGCGAAGGACGTTATATTTCACGTTATATTTCATGTTATATTTCACGTTATATTTCATGTTATATCACGGTGCAGGCTGAAATAGGGCTCGTGGGTTTATTGTTGTCAGAAGATTAATGCACGTGATGACCTGGGTTCGGCTCGCGCTGGCCTATATTTGTCTGTATTTATTTTCTGTTGGGCTCTCTACCATCTTTCTAATAACATAGTGGTCTCGCATGCTTTGTCAACTGGTAGGTCGCGAGACAACAGTGTGTGCTCTGATTGGGTCTCGGGGAAAAAAGAATATAATTTTAAATGCGTAGCTATCTGACGTCTGACTTTTATTTTGAAAGAAAAGGCCTGACTCGTTTCACAGTTATGTAGTTATGATAATGTTGAATTTATTCACATTCATAAGAATCAGCAGCACGCAGGTCACCCCAGTTTGGTGTCAAATGCTGTGAAATGTCATTAATTTAGACGAATTTAGTCTCAGTGAATAAATCAGCCTGGTTCTATAAAAGTGGGTTGCAATTTAATGGGAAAATCATAGTCCCAAGCCGAGACCAGTTAAGAATCACTGGTCTATAGAAACCCATACAGTTCCCTCAATCATATTAGTCCATATGTAATGTAATGACTTCACATTTGTAGGGGTCAGCTCTGTAAGAGCACATCTGTGTTTGGTACAGACCCCAACAAATGTCACATGATTTAGATTTTCTAATTTGAATAAGTCTGAATCATAGCATTGTGAATCCTATTGCAATCGTAATATCTGTCAAAATAATCGCAATATAATATTATTTATTAACACATTGTGCCGCCAGCACACACAGACTGCATACAATTTAAATAAAATGTGTCCTGACTGGGTAATCTGACCAGTGTTGGGCTAGTTACTCAACAATGTAATTTATTACTCAGTCATTTTAAAAGTAGTATCATTACTTACTGTCAACAGTAATTAGTTACACTACTAGTTATATTACTTTTCTGCTACTCCCCACAAAATTGTATCCCCAAAATTCAGACTTATGACGATTAAAATCCAGTTTTGTTTCTTAAAATCAAAGTAATGGAATATTTCCAGCTGCTGTATGTTTCCATCTTCCAAACTAGTTTCCTCTACATTTACAAAAATTAATCCAAGGATGTGATTGTGGTGTATGTTGGATTTCATATCAGTAGGAGTGACAGCAAAAGAAAGGTTGTAAGTAATTCTTTTTTGGTGGTAATAGTATTACTGACATTTTTTAATTAGTTACACTACTAGTTACTGTCGAAAGTAATATTATTACTAGTATTTCCCTACTGGCCATCACTGATCGTGACACAAAAAGAAGAGACAACAAGAAACACACAGTGAGAAGAAAAAACAATCAGTGAGCAACAATCCCATAAAAACCCAGAACTACATAAGAAACAGAGGTTCCCAGAGAAATACAGTAGAAAGTAATGAGTATGAGTATGTATATTAAATGTAAGGAAGTCATTTGAAATCATGAATTGAATTCTAAAGATAACAAGCTCTTGATAACGTGAACTGTTGCATTCCATATGTGTACACCACCATCTCTAAGAGGACATCTTGTATGTGTTATAACTTACTTGGCAATAAACCCGATTCTTACTCGGTTTCTGATTCTGATTCTGTAATAACAGTTTCAATATAATAACTGAAATTCACTGAAATGTAAAAAACAATTGAGGTTAACTAAATGTGTCCTATTGTCCTCACTGTAACTGTGTGCAGGGTGTGTGTAGAGTGTGTACTTTCTCAGCAGAGTGACACACAGGCTGGTGGCCTACAACCAGGATGTCCTACATGAGAGCAGACAGTAGCTGGTCCCAGCCCTGGGACTTCAACAGCCTGGTCCAGACATGCAGCTCCAACATCCAGAAGATCAGCCAGAACTGTGAGTGCTTACTGTGTCCAACACGGACCAGATCACACACCAATGAATCCCCCAAAGAGCTGCGTGTGTACTGAACTGGCTCCTTTTCTCTGCAGCTGGGCAGATCAAAAATCTCCTCTACCAACTGGAGACGAGACAGGAAACCTCAGATCTCCAGGAGAGGCTGTAAGTAGCAGGGTCCCAGGTAATCTCACATATGATCCTCATTTGATCAACTGTGTGACCTTCTGAGTGAGGTCTGTGTTTGTGTGTTACCCTGCAGCCAAGAGCTCCAGCACTACACCAACCAGCTGGCTAAAGAGACCAACAGACACCTGAAGGAGCTGGGGTCACTGCCCCCCGCTCTGTCTCCATCAGAACAGGTCGGTATATAGACACACACACACCGATATATTGTTACAAACATGACTCATGCCTGAAGTGTGTGTGGAAGAAATAAGTAAAATAACATTAACACAGTTAATCTCAGGTGAGGTCCATGTGGTAAGTGCCCTGGTAGCTCAGCAACAAAGAGAGAAACAGTCAGAAACTAGTGCAGCAGCCCTTTCTGTCTTTAGGCCACGCCCTCTCCAGGCAAGCTAAGTGTGACGGCCCTCTAAAATTTCAGAGGGGGGAAGAAAGGAAAGGGTCACGGTCAATGTGGTAAATTGGTTAGGGATTTTAGCTGCCCCCCCCCCCATCATCACCATCATTGCAACTGAATTAGTTCGTTTAATTGAAACACTCCAGTGTAACCGTAACCGTTAAATGTGCGTCATGGAAGGAACGCAGAGATACTGGCACTAATTTTACTGACATATTTCAGTCATGTGAGGTGGGAGTGGGCCAGACTTCCATGCCTACAAATCAAGCTCTGTCTTGGAAGTGGCTCACTGTGGTTCCATGTCAAAATGCATTTATCCAACGTTTATTCATGGCTTCTAAATGTTGCCAGTATTTAATACATTTTTGTATGACTGATAAATCACCATTCACTGTATGTATATAGTTTTTTGTTTATATGAGTAGGTAAAGGGGAACTACAACTTGCATTTGACAAGTGAACCTTAAAAACCAGCCTTTACACAGCAGAAGGACTAATACCAGCACGTGTTCTATCTGCGGTACCTAACCCTGAGGAAGAGGACCACAAAATCCACTGTAAACGCTTCATTCTGAACCCATTTTCTTTCTTTTTTTTAAGTATTTGTTGAGGCTTTTATTGCCTTTATTATAGTGACAGCTGAAGACAGACAGGAAAGGGGGGCAGAGAGAGAGGGGATGACACGCAGCAAAGGGCTGCAGGTCAGATTCAAACCCTGGGCTCTACCCACTGAGCTAACCGGGCGCCCATGAACCCATTTTCAAGAAATTTGGTTTGTTATAAACGAGAGAAAGTGAACCTGATATTGGTTACTGGTTGGAGTGAATTCAGTTACTGGGGATGGAGCTAATCAGCTCTGTGCCAAAAAATGTACCTTGTGAATAACTACAACTTCCACTGGGACATGCAGGCTGCGATCAATGAACAGGCAACATCAGTGTCAATTATTTACAATTTTAGCTTTTGTCACTTTCTCTAAAAATGTCTATTATATTGTTGTATTGTTATATTTTTATATCTGTTGTATTGTTATAAAGCCGCCTGGGTGCTTGTTTTCGTGAAATGCGAAATTAGTCTACAGTATAATTCAATAGGTCTTCCACACAGTTTTTCCTGCCAGTTTCCTGTTAGACAGTAATTTGTAGCCTACCATGTGTTAATAGTTTCTGCACCAGCTCACACACTGGTGTACATGTATTCATTGTTTTCACTCTTGGCCAGAGTTTCGCTCTGACTAGCGGTGGCTGTTTGTACATCCAAACACTTCACATGCCTTGGGCATTTCTCCAAGTGATGACTCTTTTTTGGCATAGAGCTGATTAGCTTACTAATAGATTACAAATAATGTATTCCTCCTACTACAGCCTCTTCTTCTTCTAGTTGTTTCAGGAAATTAACATGTGTCCATGTGGGTGTCTGTGACATGACACATAAAAAAAACACATTGTGATAGTGTTTTTTTCTCCTCCAGAGGCAGCAGAAGCTACGTAAGGAGCGTTTGATGAACGATTTCTCTGCAGCCCTTAACAACTTCCAGGTGGTGCAGCGGAGGGCAGCTGAGAAAGAGAAGGAGTCAGTGGTCAGAGCTCGAGCTGGATCCAGAGCCACGGTGAATACCAGGCTTTTCATTGGACAGAGCCTGCAGAGCATTGACAAGCAATAACAGCACTCTCATTGACTTACTTTTAATACATTTATGAGGCTGACTGGACTTTTTGTTGCTGTCTACAGGGAGACGGAGGCAATGTGAATGACCAGCTGGTGACGTTTGAAAAGTAAGTTTCTTCAGTGTCTTTGTAAAGTGTGTGAAAAAGCTGCACTTTCAGAAAGAACTTTGCAGTGATTGGATGAACCCTCTGTCTATCACGGGTGAACTTCTACCAATCAGATCAATGAACCATAGAATGTAGTCACACTCAGTCAGTTGGGAGTGGTGCTGTCAAAACTGTCATTCAGTTATTCTTTCCTAGGGCCTATACTGATAATTCTATATAAATGAATCAGTTTTTACCTATGCAAAGATGTTAGAAACTACGCATCAGGAGATCATCCCAAATTGTACCCAATGTACACACTGATGCAATTTGGTGAATCTTAACATCCCTATAAGACACACAATAAAGGTCAAAGATGGAACTGACGGACAGCTAATGTTTTTCAAATGTTCTGTAGAATTCACAATGAACAGGAATTATTTTGTCCACAATAATCGTGTAGTGAAAATGTGATATTGTGACAGCTCTAGTAGCAATCAATCACAGAAGAGTTGAAGGTGAGTAATAATAATAATAATAATAATTATAATGTTGTGATTGTTTAAAGGCATTCTGGGATATGTCAACATTACTAACTATAGTTTAAGGAGTCTGAGGGATAGTCTGTACAGTTCACTATTGCCAGAATATAGGTGGTATTTCTCTACTGTGAGTTGCAGGTTACAGTGACATAAAGTGGGCTCTGTGTGATTCTGCAGGGAAGATGAGTGGAGTCAGAGCCAGACTCAAACTGAGGAGCCCCACATCACAGAGGAGGACCTGGAGATCATCAGGGAGAGAGAGACTAACATCAAACAGCTGGAGGTACCCACCTGAATGACTGGAAGATATTCACTGTATTACACATTACTGTTCAGCACTTAACCCTCTCCTGTCCTCTCCAGGCCGACATAATGGATGTGAACCAGATCTTCAAGGACCTGGCTGTAATGATCCACGACCAGGGAGAGATGATTGGTGAGTCAGAGGAAACTGTGCACTGAGTTGATCCTTTACATGTGGTGTAGATGTGACGAGCTCTTCCTGTGTTGTGATCTACAGACAGCATTGAGGCCAATGTGGAGAGTGCGGAGGTTCATGTGGACAGAGGGGCCGTCCAGCTGCAGAAGGCAGCCTATTACCAGGTAAGATACAGGCGCTGCACAGAAGATTCCAGCCATAATAAAGTATATCATCCACAATATCTTCATACATGTTAACGATAAGTTTGGTGATATTCTACATAGTCCTGCTGCCCCAAATACTCACTAGTGTACAAAATGTGGACTGTTCCCAACAAATGTACTATTCAGTGCTTACTGTTTCGTTTAATGTCGGTGTTAAGCTGCTACCACTGCCATATCAAACACTGATGCACTTTAGCTCCATTTTTCTCTCTGCTGACTGATACTTTGCTGTGTGCAGAGGAAGTCTCGTAAGAGGATGTGCATGCTGGCCATGGTGCTGTCGCTGGTGCTCATCATCCTGATCATCATTATCTGGCAGGCCATCAAATGAGAGGAGCCCACTGATACCTTCAAATGACTTCCAACGTGTGTGTGTGTGTGTGTGTGTGTGTGTGTGTGTGTGAGAGAGAGAGAAAGCTGTATATGTGCACATTAGTCTGAAAATGAACCCTACATTCCACTATAAAAAAAAGTCAAATCCTCCTCAGTGTAACCTTCATCGCCACTGTAGACTGTGTCTTATGAAATGCAATGTTGCACAATTTTGTATACAGTAAGTTGATATACTGTAGACCCTGTCTTGTTTGAATATAAAGTGTATTCCTGATATAAAGAGTGTCTTACCAGTGGTTCCCAACCTGGGGGCCGGGACCCCACTTGGTCGCCTAAGCTTCATAGGGGCCGCAGAACCTTCTTGATTTTAAGCTGTGCTAGAAAACATACAAATATACACAGTAGGTCTATATCTCAACATTTCATTCATTTCTGTGAATAAAACTAAATAAAACTGTTATTTGTAAAGTTTAGATTACACTGTAAAACCAGTTAATTTAACTGAAAAAATTGTTGAAAGTGATTAAAATTCAATTTTAAAAAAGTGAAACATTCTTGAAGTGACACTGAATTCATTTTTAATTTATTTGTATTGTGAAAAAAATTGTGAAAAGTATTTAATCAGGAATGTTTTTTAACTTACAAAATTTAGTTTGTCTAACTTAAAATGTTCAATGTAAACCGTTTCAACAATTTTTTTGAGGTAAATTAACTTATCGCATTACAGTGTATTATTTCCTTTCTAAACTTTGATGACCTGAACACAAGCAGTATTAGAACAATGGCCAAATATCAGGGGGAAGAAAACACTGAATATGGTCAAAGTCTGTATGATTGTTAAAAAAAGAAATAATTTGCTCAAAATTCATCCAAATCACTCATTTTACACAACATTCCTGCAGTTATTGTGTTCACTGTTCATTGTACAGTTTATCCGTTTTTCTATAATTGTTGAATATTATCGTCAGGTTACTCAATGATAGAAAAGGGGTTCCTCAAGAAAAAAGGTTGGGAACCACTGAGCTATGAGAATGTTGAAGGATATATCGGCTGGTAGCAGCTGGTAGAATGTCTGTCTTTAATAAATCATTGGTTTCACTGATCTACCCACCTGAGAACTGAATACAGTACCACCTGATGGAGTGCTGCTGGTGTCATGTTTCCTTTCGTCCACCAGAGGGCAAGCTAAGCATGAGAGTAGCAGGATCCATTCTCCTGATATTATGAATGGCCAATACTGAAGACATAGCAGTACCATACAGTGCTGGGTACTTCAATGCAACATTAGCTCATTTGTTTGATTTGGAGGTAAAATATATTCATCTGAAAGTTAAATATCCATGTCTCATTAATGTGAAATGAAAAGTAAAAATCTTTCGTTTGTGGTGTTCACAGCACTGAAAAATGACATTTATCAATAGTAACATCTGTTCCCTGACAAAGGTCCCTGTAAATCTACACTATCAACAGCAGGCCCATAATCAATACACTTCCCTTAAATATTCAGATATGCCCAAAATGTCCCCCAATATTGAAAAAAGAATAATAAATGAAAGGTCCAGTGTGTAACATTTAGGAGGATCTATTGTCAGAAATGGAATATAATATTCATAGGTATGTTTTTATTAGTGTATAATCACCTGAATATAAGAATTGTTGTATTTTTGTTACCTTAGAATGAGCTTTTTTTATCTACAGAGGGAGCAGGTCCTCTTCTACGGAGTCCACCATGTGACCCGTCATGTGTCAACAGTAGCTCAGAAGGGAGGAGACAAAACATTTTTGCAGCCACCATAGTTTCTCCTATACACTTGGAGCATGAAGATGAGGCAATGTGCAACTGCAACACAAGATGCCACTAAATCCTACACACTGGACCTTTAAAATTGCCATGCTACAACAGGCAACAATCACTATCTTCAACCATCAACCCAAAATGTCCTTCAATCTTTTTTGGCTCTGGTTGGTCATTGTGTTTCAGGCCTGGTGGATTTTTGCAAAGCGTAGGATACAGGAGCACTAGGAGGAGTCACAGGAACCTGTTTTTTTCACATCTGTCTAATGTACTGTCAGGATAAAGTGAAAGTTTCAGTAAATATGACAAAAAGTTATACTGCAGCTTTAACAATTGCATTGACATTGGGAATACTGAATATAATGTAGTTTATCAAACTTAATACTAAACATAGTATTATTATTTTAGGAATGACTCTTGACTAATATTTTTAACATTAACATTTTAACATTTAGAAAACAATCTCATGTACATCCTGCACTACTCCAAAGTAAGCATAAGGGTACTTACTCCATTTGATTGTGTTCTACTCACTGTGTGGTGTATGACTGGCTGTTTTAGATACTACTGTAAGTTGTATCTTGTATCTGTGTAGACTGTCAGCTAATCACTTAGATGGTTTGATTGCCAATGATTGCCAATCAGTCCTGGATTGCACTTGTAGCCTCTAAAGTGAAGCTCAAATGGATGTAATGAAAGACTTCTACAGTAACTGTAATCGCTGCTGATTGAGACCCAAGTGTAAACTGCACTCTGCACTGTTTCCTCTTTATTGTGCTGTAGAAGTTTATGTTATTTACATCAGTGTAGATGTCCTCAGAGTTAAGAGTCAAGATGTCCAAATGGTAGATGGCACTGAAACGTCTGAATAAGACACTTGATGAGTGTGGACAGAATAGCTAATGAGTGAGTAATGAGAGTGTGGTGGGATGTAATGAGGCTAACACTGGGGTTGTCTTGGTTACACACTGTCTTGTGGCTGTGGAGGAGCACTAAGTGGTCCTCAGCATCTCCGTAAGGTTATCCTCTGCACCCCCGCTGCCATGACTCAGCATTCAACATGATGCCGTGAACTTTGCTTGAGCACGCTCACACTGGCCTTTTATTAAAGAGGAGGTGTCAATGACAACAATCCAGCTCAAGAAAGATGGAGGATTAATGTAAAAACATCAAACACTATTACACATCTACTGAACCTTATATTGAACTATGTTTTGTATTTTGGCAATCAGTGCAACATACAAGGGGCTGGCTCCCATTGTTCACAAAAGGACGAGGGAGATTTCGTGGCGTCTGGTAGTGAAGATGGAGATTATTTGCATACAGCTCAGCCTTCCATGTACGTAGGAGAAACTACGGTGGCTACAGAATTCTTGAAAAATACTAAAGGCGCTATCTAGAGCCAGTGTTTGGTTTGTCCATTCTACAGCCTCCGTAGAAGAGGACCTGCTCGCTCTGTAGATAAACAACAGAAATACAAGTATCCTAATATTCAGGTGATTATACACTAATGAAATCATACCAACGAATATTATATTCCACTTCTGACAATAGATCCTCCTCAGTGTTACACACTGGACCTTTAGGTGAAGTATCTCAACATCTACTGAATGGATTGGCTTAAAATTCCAGTTCCTAGGTGATGCAGGTTACCAACCTGGGGGTCCTGGCCCCCACTAAGGGTTGCCAAAATATCCCTTTCAATATATACAGTAGGCATATATATCTCAGCATTTCATTCATTTCTGTGAAGAAAACTAATTGATTATTTAAAGTTTGGATTATTATTTAAGATCTAAACTTTAAAGAAATCTCACAGCATAAGACCACAGTGAAGAGCTGAACACAAACTATATTCACAGAGCCTTTACTCTCTGATAAACAGCCTCATTCTGCTTTTGAAAAGTACGCAGTCACAACAACCAAAGAGCAAAAAGAACAATGAGATAACACTGAATTTGTCAAAAAAGAAGCCTATTAAGTAGGCTATGTATTGTTTATTCTGTTTTAAAGGTCCAGTGTGTAACATTTAGGAGGATCTATTGTCAGAAATGGGATATAATATTCAGAGCTATGTTTTCATTAATGTGTTATTACCAGAATAAAATAAAAATGATATTGTCATTACCTTTATCTTTAACAGTCTGGTGAATTTGTATGAAAGCTGCTGCATTTCGTCTCAAGCTGCTAAGCAACCGGAGAATTGTAATGATAGAGGCTCTCAATGAGAATTTAAATTTCCTGTGGTGGTCTAATGATTCTTCAGAGGCTTTTAACTGCGACGATGAACACTGTTTGGAGGAACACTGTATTGCTTGTTAGTTTTGGAAATGTTTGGTATCAAGTCTGCAGAAGCACAGATCTTCTACAGAGAGGCAAAAGAAAATATCACAGTATCCTTTATCACTGAAAGGGAAGAATACTCTCTCCAAGTATGGCAACAAAATCCTACTGTGTGCCCACATACTAACAGTTCCATGTGTTGCTCAACAATACTGACAGTGTTAGAACTTTTTTTCCAGTGATGGAAGGTCTGTGCTGCCATATATAATATGTTGAATTGCAGAAGAGGGAACCTGCAGCATAATGAAGGGCCAGTGTCAACACTTCTATATGGAAATACTTCATCATGACCTGCAGCTCAGGCTCTCGGTCTGACAATGATACACATGTATCATTGTCATCAGTTAAATTATTATTTGTGTAATATTTAAAGTAATTGTTGCATAGATCTTTGGTTTAAGGGGCCGATCACACACAAACACATTATTAGAGGTGTGGCGGGAAAAAACAGCTGGTCGAGGCATAGTGCAAAACTGCTTGATCAAATATGAGTAACAGAAAAACTGTACTGAAGCAGATGTCAAGTTCTAGAGGAGTAAACACCCCTGCTCTGTAGCTCTCTCACAAACAGCTGGCTAACCTTTTTACCAGCATAGTAAACAGCATCAAAACCAGTGGTAAAGTAGTAAAGCCCTCCTCTTGCTTGATTTGATTGGCTGTCTGGGCCAAGTGTGACAGTGACGAGCTGAAAAGAAAATATTTAAACTTTAATGTATTTTTATGTGCATTCCAGGTGTGCCATACCATAGGAAACTGTGCTGTGAAGTATACCCCCACCCTCGCCTCAACAGCTATTATGATAGGAATTAAATAAACGTTTTTATTACTTTAAAAAAATACAATTACATATACACGTGATATTGTCTGCATTTTCTGAACCAGTACTGCTGTAAAAATAAAACAAATGGACATGCATCCATTGTCCCCATAGCTTCAGTATCAAGTAAGGGAGACTCCTGCTCACCAGCTCACCAGCTCTGTGAGGGCCCCCCCAACAGTTAGCTGTGGGGGCCTTATGTTTGTGTTATGGTGCTGATAGGAAAACAGCACGTGTGTAGCGATGCGTCTCTGTGTGATCGGCCCCTAGGGTTCCTTTTTGAAGAGAATGGTCATGTTTTAAGTGTTTGAGTTGACTCTTCAGACCGTGAGCAACAAGGTCAAAAAGTCACCAGAAGTCTTTTTATTTCCTACAGAGCTGAACAATGAGAAAACCTGGACCACATGCTTAGAGTCATCAAGTTAAACTGCCCACAATACATGTAGTTCATTCAACTCTATGGTTCTATTGATGTGATATTATTCTGTGCATCTCCTCATGGCAAGATGGACTTGATAAATGTATGACAAACACCTAAAGGATAAGGTTGCATTATTCTGTTTTATTCTCATCAGACCAACAGTGTTTAAGTCTGTCTCTCTCAACCAATGGTAAATAAAAGATGATAAAGTGCCCTCCATGGTGCTAATACTAACCCTGACTAAGCTGTTTCACCATAAATGAGTCACAACTTTCTGCGTTGGTGCCCTTTTTATTTTCTTCATCCCTGCCCCTCAAACAGTCCGCCACTGCTTTCTGACTTCTTTACCCTGACTCTGGCACTCAGCTCCAAGCCCACTGGTTCTTACTGAAGACATGAATAAAAAAAAGGAAAAAAAGAAAACTAATGAATATATTTTATCTACTTACTCAAACAGGAGGGAATATAGTGCCTGAGTTGGGGACTTTTTATTCTGTGCTCTATTTGGGACAGCAGGATGGTGTATGTGGAATGAACTACATGTGGAATTGAAGGAACACAAGAGCAAACTTTTCACTGGGGACTGCAGGGGATATGTCCCCCTCACCATTCAAAATCCTATTTTTGTCTTGCTCCATTTAATTGTGTCCCCAACCACCATAGTACAGATGAGAGAAAAGAGGAGTTGATTAAATGTTGATACAGTTATTTAAGTCTCCTTCAGTGTACA